GAGAGAGAGAGAGAGAGAGAGAGAGAGGGAAAGAGATTAGGTAACTGAAGCTAAAAATGGAATCCAGGTCATTTTGTTTACTGAGGGAGAAAGTTTTTTTTTTTTAAGCGGAAAGAAGTTTGGATTATTTCTCAATAGGTATTGTTAAGGTTTGACAATAGAGTTACAGATAGAATGAGTTGCTTCGAGAGATCGTGGATACCCTGGTTTTGTGATATCCATGGAAATGAATTCTTCTGTGAGATGTCGCGAACAAAACGCGAGAAATATAAGGAATTATAACTTTTCTCATCAAGTGATAATCACTTCATAAAAGCAATCTATTAAAGTAAGAATGGTTTTTGATGCTTCAGCTAAAACATTAACCAGTAAAGAGCTTCAAATATTCCGTATATAGGGGACTAGTGATGTCAAATGACCTGTGATGTATCTTGCTGCGATTCCGTTTAATGAACATTGCTGTCCTGTGTGATATTGCAAAAGCTTTCCATTAAATAGCACTTAATGAAATAGATTGGGATGTCATTCGTTTTCTATAGCTCCGAGGCTATAATGTTCCAGTAAAACAAGAGAATCTAATCAATTAGTATCATTTGAGAACAATATCTTCAGTAATAGCAAGAAAAGTAGAATGAAACTTGTATGTAGATAATCTTATGATCGATGTACGGAAATGAAGCCAAAGCAATAAGCGTGTACAAAGAAATTAAAAGTTTTCAAAAAGGTAGCCATGAATATGCGTGAATTCATATCCAATTCAAATGAATTCAACGAATTCCTTCCACTACTGATTGACAAAGAGGAAAAGTAACAAAAGTCATTGGGACACTACAACAAACAAAATTAGCATTAGGCTGTTAAACTTGACCCAGAAAACAACAAAACGATCAGTATTACAAGAAATTGCTTCTATCTTCGATACATTGGGACTTATGGCACCAGTCATTCTACTAGCCAAAATTATACTTTAAAATCTTTAGAGCCAAAATTTCAAGTGGGATGATGTATTGGAAGCAAAAGAATTTAAGGAATGAAAAGGAATTCTTAATGATTGGCATTCTGCATTTATTGGATTACCGAGAAAAATTCCAGAAATAAAAGCAAGAGTGCAACAAATCCACGTGTTTTCGGATGTTTCGTAACATGCTTATGCCGCGGACATCTATTTGAGATCCGAAGTTGAGGAGGAAGAACCAGTGTTCGTTGGTATTTTCAAAAATCTGATTGTGTCCGATCAAAGGAATAACTTTTGGTAGTTCTTATTGGAGCAATTAACTTTGTAGCAGATCAGCTGGAAATGCAAAATATTGAAAAATTTTTTTGCAGCGACTCAGTGTATGTGCTGAATTGGATACAAAGTGAAACGAAACAACAATTATTCAAAATCGTCTAGATGAAATGTAAGAAACCAAAATAAATTCCAAATATGTACTTACAGTTGACAATCCTGCAGACGCAGCCAGTAGAGGAACAAGAATCAACGAGTTAAAGAATAACTCTTTATGGTAAAGTGGACCTAGCTGGTTATCTGAACCAAAAACTGCTTGGCTAGCAATATCAATTCAGGAAGAAAAAGACAGAACTGACGGAGAAATTGAAAACAATCAACAAGAAATGGGTGCATTAGAACATAATGAAGAAAAAGAGAAGGGAAATTTTTGAGTATTAAGCGATTTAGTAGCTGGGATAAATTACTCCGAAAACTATTCGAGTATTTAAATTTATTAGAAATATCTGGCACAAACAAGTACCAATCATCAAATATATTTCTAAAAATCTATCTATTACCGCTGATAAATACTTAATCGTAGAACAGTATCTTACCAAAGAAGCTCAGAAAAATGAAGTCATAGAAAAAGAAAAAAAGAAGTGCCAACTAACAGCTGATAATTATGAATTGCTCTATGATGCGATGGACGTATAAAAGATTCTGAATTAAACAGGAATGCAACCTATCCAATTTATCTCCCATAAAGATGTAGAATAACATCACTGATTATCATGAATACACATGAAAAAACGTTCCACAGTGGGATAAATTCCAACTACCGAATTACCCCTCATATCCAGAAGAACGCGTACAACGTTCATATTTACGAATATTGGATTAGATTATTTTGGTTTAGCTAAGATTAGAGGACAATTATCAACCAGCAAACGATGGATTGCCTTTTTTTTTTCTTTATTTTATTGTTTGACTACTTGAGCAATACATTTTGGAGTGGTATAGGATTTAAGTGCGAGAGCTTTTCTACACGTGATGAAAATTACGAAGATGTATTGCATGTCGTGAAACATCAGAAACAATCGTGAGTGACAATGCATTTAACTTGAAAGTAATAAGGGAGACCTACAATGTATGGGATATAATCTCAAAGATTCTTCAGTACTTTACTACTGAAGCAAGAATAAAATTAAGTAGGAGTGTACTATTACTCTTTATACGTCATGGCAAGGAGGAATATATGAATGATTAATTGGATTGACAAAGTCAGCGATTAAGCAAACCGTGGGAAGACGTTTTCTGAGCAAAATGAACTGATTACGATAATCACAGAAATTGAAGCCATCTTGAATTGCCGACCAATAACACAAATGGTGAAAGATATGATACAAGTCCTTCATCCTACTGATTTCATGAATCCTTTGGCTAAACCACTCCAAGAAAAGGAATCGGATGAAGATTATGGCATAGTAGAAACCCAACACAGGAGAAATTGAAAAGATAATTACGGAAAACAAATCAAAGTTTATATCAATTTTGGATGCAATGGCAACGAAAATATCTCCTTAGTTTAAGAAAATGATGGCAAGTACAATATCAATAGGACGAAGTTTAACTAAAAGGGGACCTAAAATAAATGAAGTAGTAGTTGTAATGGAAGAAGAACAACCAAGAGGAAGTTGGAAGTTTAGGAATCATTGGAGAGCTGACATGAGGTAGAGAAAGAGAATTCGAAGTCAACAGTACGACTCCACAACAATCACAAAATAATCTAACTGATAAATTTATTGATTCCTCTGGAAATTAGAAGTCAAAATAAAGAGGTAAGAAATATCGATCAAGCAGAACTCTACATGTACATATAGAGTGCTATCACTATGCATAAAACTACACATGCGCTCTTTGCTAATACTGTATCCAAGGAGTCTCTACACCAATATGCGCTAACAAAGGGCTTTATTTATGCAGTCGTTGAACCATACGCGAGTTTGAGGTAGAAATAACAAACAATTTGCAACTCTGTGTTATGTTGCGCAAGAAACTCATAAGTGTACAAGAAAATAATTTTTTTATCCACTTTATGAGGTTATTGTCCGTTTTGCTGTAATGTTAATTTGCTACGTCAGATATTACAACAATTCCTGATTAATCGTAATTGTTTTCTTTGGCATTAAATAAATCAGTTGCATATATAATTCTTTAATTCAAATATTTTATTACTTCGCATAAAAAAAATCAGCACATATATATATATATATATATATTGGTTGCTTGGGTTTGTTGATCCACTGGCTTCTTAATTTTGATACTGCCGCAAAAGTGTATATCTGTATAGACATTAAGTTTCTCGCTTTTTTTTACCAACTAAAACCGAGTTACTAAGAATTGATTTCTGGTATGAATTCAAAAGGACAAATTCTCAGTGTTGGAAAGTAAAATTATTTGCGCATCGCTTAAGGAAATAAAGAAAATAGCGATTACTTTTCAATATTTATCTTTCGAAAAAATTTTGGATTTACATGAAAAATAAAGCTACTTTTCAAATGCTATAGACTAGCCGGATTCGGAAACGTGTGCTGAAAGGTTAACCCAATTCAAGTCAAATTAATAGAAAGAAATGCTGAGACATATAATGTCATGCACAGTTTGCTAATAACGCAATGAGTGAAAATCTCTTCCGAATTTCATAAAAATAACATTTGAAAGGCTTTTAATAGGAACATCAAATGCGATTTGGAGAAACCGTTGTGACAAAAAAAAAAAATGTATCTTTGTACTTTGACATGCTTGAAAAGAATTCCGATATGCTAATTCATCCAATCAAAAAAAATGGTTCCACTTATTCATTCTCCAAATCCAAGAGGAATAGCTGGTTGGATGTGATGTTGCCTTCGACACAATAGCCATTTGAAACCATAAATTGCGGCATCCCCCTTTTGCCGATACATGAATAAATTACCATATTGAAGGAATTCAGGAGAGGCAAATATATGCAAAGCATCACAACCAAAGGTATCCTTTTAATGCGATCCATCACAAAAATGCACTTCACTATTGATGGCACCACAACGAGAATTGCAAAAAGAAGGATGAAAGTGCAAGTCAGAAAGTAAAGGGGTGAAAGGTGATAATTAAGATAGATCTCACCGTTGGTTCGACCTCTTTTACATTTGATTGGTCCTTTTGAAGTTAAAGGTGGTATAAAAGTTTTGTTATAAAAGAAGGTTATATGCGACTGAATTCTTTGTCTGAAGTTTTACAATTTAGAACAGCTTTGATTCATAAGCATTGGATTCATGACAGTTCGGCATTATTTTTACAACTGCTTATGGCAATGCATTATTTAGCCATTTAGCAAAAATACACGAAATGTAAAACAGCAGGAGATCAGTGCTGTATGGGTGTATCGCTTTTGATTCTCGAGAAAACGTGTCAAGTCATGGTTATGTGAATTGTGTGAAAAACTGAGCACCAAATTTTCTGGATATTAAAACTCAATATATATTTAAACTTGACTTCGTCAACATACCATGATTTCTTCCCAACACAGTTTACTATGTATTCATCAAATCGGATTCTACTGAATTGCAAAATCCCTTGAAAGCTAATATTAAAGCTAATATCGAGCTAATGTTTCACCAAAACAGGAGAGTATCATGATACAATTATAAGTTATAACCTATACGTCAATTAATGATATAAATGAAGATGCGCGATTGCATCTTCACGGTTTCTTCACGACTGCATCTTCATTTCCATCTTCAGATGCATGATTGAAACTACAATTATTAACTACAACTATAACTTCCAATCATAATTATTTTTAAGTCTATACCTTTTCAGCATGGCAACAGCAATAACCATCGGAATAATACTAAATAATGATGTTATTTAATACTAAATAACGCACTAGCGAATACAACAAAAAATTTCCATTCAAATGTTTTGGATTAATTAGAATTTTTGAAAAATTCCTGAATTTTAGGCTATTTTGGACAATATACAATAAGGTTTTTGCTATTTGTAATCAATGTTTTATGGATTTGATATATTTATTATTTCCAAAAATCACTAATCACGTTGCGCACTAGCGAACACAACAAAAAATTTTCATTCAAGTGTTTTGGATTAACGAGAGTTTTTGAAGAATCTTGAATTTTAGGCAATTTTGGACAATATATGATAAGGTTTTTGCCAATTTTGGTCAGTGTTTCATGGATCTGATATATTTATTACTACCAATAGTCACTGATCACGTTGCGCACTAGCAAACGCACCTCAAAAAAAAAAGTCAGAAATGTTTCTTTTTTCAAAAAAATTTTAATATATCAAATTTAATGTCTCATTAATTTTCATATCATTAGAATACTAAACAGATATTCTCAGCGCAGCTTGTTTGCTTGTATCTTCATCATATTTGATAGATTTTGTTCGTGTGACACTCTTCTTAAGATTAATTTATATTTCGGGCAAAACTGTATAATTGCGAAGTAGCAATTCCATGATTTTTAATTAGATGTCTTTTGATTACAACTCATCGCTTATGCATGAATGCTTAAATGTTTTCGGTTGTTTCCTGTAGCTTCCGTTCAACTTCGATCTTACAAGTACCTAAATACTTTTTTCCATAATTTTAAGTCACATTAAAAACATAACGTCTGACGAAAAGTGATATTTGCCGTTCAAAACGGTTCAGTGACAAAATGTGCACTTCCCTTTTAGTATTAAATTGTGTAAAAAAAATTTTTATAGTTTTTTTCTGGATTTCCTTGCATGGATTTCTATTTAACACAAGCCATAATTAACAGTAGCAATTTATATAAGTTATGCTATTAAACTTATTATTTTTACAATTTTATGGTGTACATATTTACAAATTTTTGACTATATTTTAATTCAATGTTTTTGCGTTTCAAATTTTCAGTTTCTTGAAATTCAGAAAAATGATTTGTTAATGACTATAAGAATGTCTATAAAACTGGTAAATTAGACTGTTTCAAACCATTATATTATTTGACAGGATTGATAGTTCAAAGTGATTTTACAGAAACCCAGTGGAATTTGGTTTATTTTTGGCTGACATTATATATAAATATGCAAATATAAAATGTCTGAGATCATTCATCATCCTGAATCACTTTCAAAACGTGTAGGCAAATTTAAGAAGCAAATATTACTTTTAGTGAAATTACTCTGATTAATCTCAAATCGACTATTGATGTAAAAACATCAATACTAATATCATGTAAATGCCTACTTTTGCTATTTAATCAAAATTTTTATATAAATTTAAATCATATTGGACAATACTGCAATTTCCATCGGTTTTGGAAGTAATGAAATTATCAGGAAGAAAAATATTTCCGGTATCAAGCATTGAACTTCTTTTGGTTCAATCATTTTGTGTCGGAAAAACCGAAATAGTTCTATCATAAAATCATTCATTCAAATAGATCGCATTTACATATTTTTTCTCTCATGCTTAAAGTCATGAGTCAGCTATCTAATCTACTAAAAGTGCTTTTTCTGATGTTGAGATTTGTGCATACATGGTAACTAATTTGTAAAGGCTTCATCCCATGCAAAATCTTGTATACAATGGTGAGAAAGTTGTACATCAGATAAAATAATTTCTATGCAATTTTTTCTAAAGAAAACTGTTCTTATATGTAAATTTCTCTTGCACCTGTGAGAATACTGCCAATATGTAATGACTGTCCTCTTCACACATCCCATATATAAACCTTAAGAATCTCTAATAAGATTCAATGTTAATGTTAATTTTCTCCACGTCACCACTCAACGCTACTCAGTACAATCCAGATTTATTTCCTCTCTATTTACGAATATTTACTTCAATATTTCTCCCGTTATCCTACGTTATTAAGTTGGGTTTTATTATACTATAATCGGAATTACTTCTAATCTGTTTTTATTGTATTTGTTATTTGAACAACAATAAAGGATAACTATTATATTCCTCGAACACATAACCAATCGGTATTCAGTAAGTCACTTTTTTATAAAAAAATAACTGCTTTATTACTAACAAGAACAGTAATCCTCATCTTCTAATTCCCTTAATTTTTCTTCCACGACATTTTGTGCCTAAAACGATTTAATCATTCTTTCCCTCAGAAATATATTTACTTCCTTTTTTTGGGAAAAAAATGAAAGAGGAAAATTGAATTTCTTAATTTTGACCACACTTATCTCAACATTGAATTTCTTTCAATATTATGACGAATAAATTTCTGTAGCTTTTGGATAAATATGAATATAAATATAATATATAAATATAAATATAATATAAATACAAATATAATAAATGTAAAAAATATAAAGTATAAAAAATATAAAATATAAAAAATATAAAAATATAAATAAAAATAAAAATATAAATATAAAAAATATAAAAATAAGAAAAATATAAAATATAAATATAAATATAAATATGATAAATATAAATATAAAACATTAATTACAAGTGATGAGGCAATATAGTTTCTCCTCTGGTAAATATCGCCTCAGTTTTGGAAGTTTAGAAAACTTGAAGCGAAAGGGAATAAAACTGTGCAAAAAATGTTGCAACAGATTTGCATAAATTAATTATTTTTCACAATGCAATATGGCAATTGAAATGAAATTATTCAGTATAAAGGATTAAACAGTTATTGCTATTTTTATACTACTGTGCGTGACGATAGGTTATCGATACATATGGCTATCTTCCTCCAACAAAATTAACATTTATACATGCGGTCTTTGACCAATACCTGACAGAAGTGATTGGGTAGTATATAGTGAAATTTTATTCTAGGCTTAACAGAAGGTAATTTACATTCCGAACATTTCTCGGTAAACATGAGGCTATCACATCAGAAATATAATATAGAATATGTTGAAGGAAAAAAAATTGATTTGATAGACATTTTTCAGTTACATATCTCGTCTTACCATATATCTCGTCTTACTATATATCTCGTCTTACTTTGGTAAGAATGCTAATTACTCTGCAATAATCGCGATCTACCGATCTACCTTGAAGTCTGAAATGAACATTGATATGTTACTAACTAAATGATATCAATGTGTTTCACAAAAAATCCAGTCTTCTTCATCATCTGGACAATGTATTGTTTTCGGTTACTCATCGTTTCTCCAAAATAAATTAGAAATGATACAGTGCTATTATCAAGTTTTATTATTGCTGAATGATCAGTAGTGTAACTTGCACATATTGCGTCACCACACGTTGGAATAAATCAAAGCATAGCAACTGGATACTAGTTGGGATTTTCCTATTCCATTTTTCGATGTTAATTTACGATAATTGAATTATTACAAGTCTCTATAATGATTGACGTACTTAATGACAAAAACACGTAATAATTTAAATTTCATAAATTAACGTCAAAGAATGAGCAAATTTTTAAATTTTGCAGTTTATCGTAGTGTCCACAAGCTCAGTTTAGATTTCCTTTGTCAAATCAATGTGATTGGCATTGCTGGAAAATTTTACCAAAAATAGTTTCTGGAAAAAGAATTGAAGCAAAATGAAATGAAACTGCAGAAAATATTGCGACAGCTCTGCATAAATTATTTTTCATAATATAACATGGCAGCTGAATTGAAATTATTCAATATAAAGGATTAGAAATGATTGCTATCATCACATTGTTATAAGTTATCGACACGCGTAGCAACCACTCCCATCAAAATTAGCATTTATACGCGCGATCCCCTACCAATACCTAATAGAAGTGATTGGGTGGCATCTGTCAAACTGTCTTCCGTAGAATTTCGTTTAGCAACTTCTTCTACTTCATTTAATTTGACAGATAATATCAGCTGCTTTTCAAAGTTTTACGTTATGAGATTTTAGGACTGCAAAGTAAGCATTCTGTTTTTAAAAAAAATTATCTTTTTATCAAATTTGTAATTGTGCAAGTTTGCACTAAATCCGGTGTGGCCAATCTTCAATATAAATAAGTTATTATGTCTGACATTTAAATGAGAGATGTTCGTATTATACACGCAATGAATGCATACCGATGCTAATATATTTAGAAAAGTATATCCTTGAAAAAGTTTTACGTTTTGCCAAGCAGCAGGTGATGTTGTTTCTCATAATCAACCATTCGGTACACTAGTAAAATTGAAATTTTTTTTTCAGAATTGGCAAGAAACCATTCCCATCGAAATGCGTTTAATCTGTTTCATCTTCTTTCTCTTCCAACTGAGTGACACTCAAACTATCGTAAGTTCATTTAAAGTTTAAAAAAATGGAAGCGTTGCAATATTTCTAAGATTTCAAAATTTTGGCGCAATTTAAAATTGATAATTCCATATAATTTGAGGAGCCACAAATAGAACCGTTGGATTTGTCAATATCAAGAATGATTGAGGACCGGATTGGACCATTAGATCTGTCAGCGCCAGAAGTGAGTACGGGAGAAATAGAATTAAGCAAAACTGATCAGTATGACACAAAGACATTGAACTTACCAATTCAAGAGGCCAGTAGGGAAAAACAAGTGTAAGAACAAAACCGAAGAGATCATGGCTCGAGTCGTATCAAAAGGAACATCTAGACTGGAAGAACATACGAATCAGGATGACGCAAAGTCATTGAACCTTCCAATTCAAAAAGCCAGTGAGAAACAGACAAGGATAGGAAGAAAGAGGAAGATATCAAGAGAAAATACGACTCACACAAGTGAGAAGGGGTT